AGAGAATTGGGGTAGACAAAGAAGCAGGCCGCTGATCCCTGGCCAAGTGGCGATGTTGTGCATGTCGTCGACGATGATACACAATAAGAGGAGTGRCGATGTTTCTAACAGAAGATGTCACTGGCAATGAAGGCGGAACAATGGRAAGAATAGAAACAGGAGAATCGGTTCTCAAACGAGACCGTGGAGGAGATGAGGGTGGCGAGGAGGAACGTAGCCGTCTGTGGCCAAGCACAGAAAGGGATGAAAGGGGGGTGGATTTGGCAGGATGTCGGAACATAGGACGCGAGTGTCGGGCTGGGGTAGAGGAAGCTATACCAGTAAAAACTATAGCATGAGAAATTCGAGGTACAGAAGCAGAGGAAGTGGTAAAAAGTGGAACCGCAGCAGAGATAAGTGTTGTAGTAGGAACCGCAGCGGAGGCAACTTCCGTAGCAGGGACCGCAGCGGAGGCAACTTCCATAGCAGAGACAACTGTTGTAGTAGGAACCGCAACAGAGGCAACTTCCGTAGCAGGGATAGCAGCGGAGGCAACTTCCGTAGCAGAAACTGCTGGAGTGAAACCCGGAGTTGAAACAGCAGCAGTTGAAACTGCAGTAGTGGAGACCACAGCGGCAGCAGCAGTAGAAACTGCAGCATTTGAGACCACAGCGGTGGAAGCGGCAGCGGTGGAAGTGGCGGCGGTGGGAACCGCAACAGTGGGAACTGCATTAGCAGTAAATGAACAAGCAGTGACAGGACGAGCAGCGGAGGCAACTTCCGCAACAGAAACTGCTGGAGTGAAACCCGGAGTTGAAACAGCAGCGGTAGAAACTGCAGCAGTGGAGACCACAGCGGTGGAAGCGGCGGCGGTGGGAACCGCAATAGTCGGAACGACATTAGCAGCAGATGAACAAGCAGTGACAGGACGAGCGCGATGTGGGGATAAAGAAGAAAGTGGGTGATGCAAGGACCATYGCAGCATGCGTCGGAACCACTGAGAGAGACGGGTGACRTGTKTAGGAYAGCGACGTTGGCGGGAGCGTGTGTAGCAGGTCCATCCTTTAGCGAGGGTTGGTGGGGAATGGCCACGAGAAAGCATGCGACAAGTGAGTGTTGTCGCTGCATTCGGAAGTCCTGCCAATTATTGCAGATGCGTTCAAATCTGGTCAATTGCCCAGTGAACACACCTGCCGGTTGATGGGAAGGGATGTTGGAGGTAGCACTTGGATAGCGAATAASMSGGAAATCCCAAGCAGCCGCTTTATCAAACACGCTCATGCGAAGCGAACCATCAGAACGTACCTGTAGATGCATACCTAAAAAGGTACACGAGCCATCTGTAGCCGTAGTTTCCTTCCACTCGAGCCCATAGTGCTCTGAAGGAGGAGGTAATTGACCCCATGAAAGAACATCATCAATGAGGCGGTTTGGGGATCATGCTGACGGATGTCATCAATAAAGCGTGCTTCATCCCAATAGAGCGTTAGATTGGAGATTTCTGGGCCAGCATTTGTTCCCATTGGAATACCAATGATTTGCTTTCGAAGAGTGYCATCTCTAGTGTACAGAAAAGTGTTTTCTACAACAAAGCGAAGATGTTGGAGAATCTGAGAAACGGAAAGGCTGTCTGGTCCTGAATCGGTTGTCCATTGGCCAGAGCAAGGCCCGC